AATGGGTACAGAAGCATCTCAAACACATCGAGCATTTTTTTTTTTTTTTTTCCGGTACCAGGAACCGAACTCACGACCATGCGCTTGCCAGGCAGGCGCTTTGCCTCTGAGCTAAATCCCCAGCCCCCACATCGAGCATTTTGACCCTTGATAAAGGGGCTGAAAGCATAAGTTGGAGGAAGCTAGCCTATTCAATAAGTAGTGCTAGGAAAGCGGGATAACTCTTTGTAGAAGACTGAAACTGGACCCATATTTCTCACAATGTACTAAATTAAAATCGAAATGAGTCAAAGATCTAAACATTAAAACAGGAACATTGAACTTATTAGAAGATAAAATAGGTAGAACACTTGAAGTTATAGGTGTAGAAAAGGATTTTTTTTTGAGATAGGGTCTTGCTATGCAGTTGGCCTGTAATCTCAGTACTCGGGAGGCTGAGGCAGGAGGATCATTACAAGTTCAAGACCAGCTTGGGCTACAAAGTGAGCTTAAGGCCAGCCTGAAGTACATAACGAGACCCTGTCTCAATAAGACAAAAAAAAAAAAAGAAAAGAAAAAAAGACCTCTTCAAGAAATGGTTATGTGAAATGGACACTTCACAGAGGAAAAAGTACAAATGGCCCACATATATATGAAAAAATGTTCAACATCTCTGGCCAGTAGAGGAATGCAAATTAAAATCACACTAAGATTTCATCTTAAACCAGAAAGAGTGGCATCATCAAGAAATCAAAAAATAGCCAGACATGGTGGCACATGCCTGTAATCCCAGCACTTGGGAGGCTGAGACAGGAGGATCGCTGTGAGTTCGAGGCCAGCCTGGGCTACAAAGTGAGTTCAAGGCCAGCCTGAACTGCATAGCGAGACCCTGTCTCAAAAAAAAAAAAAATCAAAAAATAACAAATGCTGGCAGGCTATGGTGAACAAGGAACCCTCCTACATTGTTGTTAGGAATATAAATTAGTACAACTGTTATGGAAGTCAGTGTAGAGACTTTTCAAGAACTAAAATTACAAATTCCATATGACCCAGTATCCACCTTCTAGGTATCTTCCCCAAAGAGCTTATCACATCATACTACAGTGATACATGCAGACAAATGTTTATAGCAGCAGAATTCATAATACTAAATCCTGGAAGCATCCTGTATACCCATCAGCAGAAGATTGCCTAAAGAAAATGTTGTATCTATACATAATAGATTACTCTTTAACCATAAAGAAAGGCAAATTTGAGACATTTGTAGCAAAATATATGCACTTGGAAAATACAGTGTTGACTGCAATAAACCAGACACACCGTTTTAGTTACTTTTCTCTCATTGCTGAGACAAGATACCTGACACCCAAAATTAAGGAAGGAGAGATTTATTTAGCTCACCGTTTGTGGAGGTTTCAGTCCATACTTGGCTGGCTCCAACGCAGAGTGGCACATGGCAGAGGGCAACTGTTCATGGCAGTGGTGAAGATAGGAAAAGCAACAAAGGCAAAAGGGAAGAGTGGCAGCTGGAAGAGCAAGCCTCTTTCCCTCATATACATTGTATACAAATCACCTTTCCCAGGGCAAGTGTAACCCTCACATCCATAATTCCAACATTGGACCATGAATCAATCATGTACTCTAGAAGCCCGCCCCATGACTGCATTAGGCTTTGGGGGGACATCCAGATACAAACCGTAGCACACACAAACTTAAATACCCTGTGGCATCCTTTATTTGAGTAAGGCAAAGTACAGAGAATAATACAAGGAAGGTGGAGAGAAGGAGACGGGGCTGGGTGTGGTGGTGCAAGCCTGTAATCCCAGCACTCAGAGACTGAAGCAGGAGGATCACCACAAGTCCAGTGCTGCGTGGACTACATAGTGAGTTCAAGGCCAGCCTGGACTACATAGTGAGACCATGGGAGACAAGGGGAAGAGATCTTTTGCAAATGGGAAGAGATCTAAGAGACCAAGGTGAGGGATGAAGGGAAGGGGAAGGGGAAATACAGTGGTGTCTTGGTTCATGATCTCAGTTCTCTTCATGACTCAGGTCGCAAGTACATTCCCTTTGGTTGTTCTGTTTCTTTGCTTAGACTTTTCATTACGATGGCTGTTTTCAGTACTGTCATGTAATACTTTTTCATCTTAGTACTGGCATCTCTTGATTATGTTTTTTCATTCAGCTTCAGATCTTCCCGGTCCTTAGTATAGGAGTGATTTTTGTTTGAAACTTGGGCATTTTGAGTATTGTAATGAAACTGACTTTTACATAAACCTGTTTTAGCTGGCCTTCTTTGACATACTCTAAGGGTGAGAGTGGTGTTGACTCCTTACTGCCAGGTTGGGGTGGAAGTCCAGGCCACTGGCCCTGTGGGTTTCCCACCTCCCCTGGTCCCACCTGGCCCCCTTACTGCCCCACCCTAGGTGGATGGTTGGACAACTTGGCTCTCCATCCAGATCAGCATTTGCCCCTGCACATCCCACGTGGAGGTGGGGCTGTAGGTTTTCTGGATAATTAGGCTGGAGTAGAGTGGTTGTTGTCTACTACCAGACCCTATCCTAGTTCTTTAGCTAGGGAGGAGAACTTGTGTTGGGACTTTGGTTTAAATACGTACCCACTGACATTTCACTCCTGGAGTCTTGCATTTGTGAAGCAGGGTTTCACACAAGCTCACTCCGTGGTGCTTGCCAGTCTGCCTCCTCCTCCCCTTTCAGTCTGAGTTTTGTTCTGCGTGACATCCAGGGTTTTTCTTGTAATTAACAAGAGAAATCAGGGCACTGTGTCTGTTCCACAATCCCAGAGGTGTGAGTCCTAAATCCTGTTTCTCTTGCTGCCTTTGTTTGTTTGGTTGGTTGGGGTTTTTTGCTGCTCTGAAGTTTGCTCAAGTCAGATTCCGTCAGGCAAGGTATAGAATAAGGGTTTTGTGAATTACAGTTTATTCTTGCAAGGTTCCTTTATACTTCTCTCCCAAGTGGCTTCTTGTCCCTAGCCTACTTGTTTCAGAGACCAACCCAAAAGTTCCTGGTCCTCAGAGCTGCACTCTTCATTGACCCTGTCTCAGGTGTTCTATGTGGAGCAGATTGCTCTTCGATCGCACCAGACCCAGAAGGGAGCAGCTCCCCCTTGTGCTCAGCCCCACTCCCACAGTACCCGCAGGGTGATGTCTAGTCAGATTGGCTTATTCCTTAAGAAAAATTTACTAGCGCCTGGCCTGGTAGTGCACGCCTGTAATCCCAGCACTTGGGAGGCTGAGGCAGGAGGATCGTTGTGAGTTTGAGACCAGCCTAGGCTACAAAGTGAGCTCAAGGCCAGCCTGAACTGCATAGTGAGATCCTGTCTCAAAAAGACAAAAAAAAAAAAAAAAAAAAAAAAAAAAAAAAACCACAAAAACTCACTAGCTAACCCCCTGGCTCAGGACACATTCATTGATCCTTATCTGATCTGTTGGCCTATGGTTTATCTCTTCCAGCATGTCCTGCAGGCCAGTGTGAGGCCGGCAGCTGTCCTAGTCTTGCCTCCTCTCAGCTCAACACTGCAGACTTGGATCCTGTCCACATGTCCTCTGGTTACTGGAAGCTGGATTAGCCTCAGTCTCCTTCACACCTTGTGCATATCTCTTTGTGCTTGTCTGGTTACATTGTAACTGCTGCTTTCTGTTCTTCCCTGCCCTGGGACATTTTTGGCTTTCATTGTCAGTGCACAAAGGACTAACAGCTAGTTTTAGTTGAGGAGGATGAGTTTGCCTTTGTCCCTCTTGAATTGAAGTAGCTCCAGCACATCTACATAAAAGTGGCTTTAAGTAATACTGTTTAAGTGCTCCTGCAAAGGTGATCTTTGATGTCATGGACTTGAGACCAAGTGTCAAATGGCAAGGACACCAGCTTCAGGGAGCATGCAAAAGTGGGAAAAGAACTGTGAAAGTTGATAGAAGCACTGGTGGTTACAGAGCGGCCAGTGGACTGAAAGTGGGAGCAGGGAAGTACACCATTTGTGAGAGAACCTGGAGCTGCTGCTCTTGGTGGCTTTGGGGCCTTCAGCTTTGAGAATTTGCAGAATACTCCTGTTTTCCATAGGCCTCAAATCCATGCCACTTTTAGGAGGGACAGGCTGAAGACATGGTGAAAAGGTAGAATTTAGCATATAGTTACCCGGGATTCTTTAAATTATTGGCAACAGTGTCCAATGATGGGCCCTGAACATTTGCAACAGTGTTCAGAGGTGATAGGCACCCTGTATTGGAAGGAGATCACCGCACTGCCTTGTCTTGCTGTCCACGTCTTAAGCACCTGGTGTGAGTGGGGAGGAGAAAGAGCTAGTGACCCTGGCTGCCTGTTCTTGTTAGGCTGTGTGGGCCATCAGGTCCTCAGGTCTTCGATTTCTCTGTGTGGCACAGTATGGAAGCCAGCTGCGTGTCCCAGACCCCGTGAGCTCTAGCTTTGGGAGAGGAGCCAGACCTAACTCTTGAGGCTGAACTTGCTGTTTGTTTTTATAGAACATAAGCAAACACCTTGGATGTAAGTACTGGTGATTACTGAGCAAAGCGAAGCACAACTTCCAGCCCATATTGATTTCTTTCCTTTTTTTTTTTTTTTTTTTTTTCCTTTTTCAACTGGGAATCCAACTCAGGACCTCATGCTTGCCAGGTAGGCGCTGCTGAGCTATACCCCCAGCCCCCATATTGATTTTTTTAAAACCTTACTAATGATCCGTGGGGCCCTAAGGCCAGAGCAGGTATATGATGGTAGCTTTGAAGACCAATAAACAATAGTAGGTTTTCTTTCCTGTAGAAATTAGATGATTGAACAGGAGTGCTGTGTGTGTACCTTTGGATGCCCAACCCAGGTCTGATTCTAGGATAAGAACTTTGCTTATTATGTATTTCCTACAAAACACCAACTTCTTGGTACCTCTGAGGATCGTATGCTTTTATTGAAATGTTATTTTCACTGCATTGTTTTCTTTGAGTAAAGATCAAAGAATGCTCTTTATCATGTCTTTTTCTCCTCTATTCACGTCAGGTTGGATTTGGTCCAGGGAGTCCCAAAAAGAAATAGAAAAGGAGAGACAAGCATATTATCAGAGAACAGCTGCTTTCCAGAAGGATCTTGAAGCCAAGTACCATGCCGTGATCTCAGAAAATCGACGTGCTGTTGCTCAGCTGTCTTTGGAACTTGAAAAGGAACAAAACAGAACAACTAGTTATCGAGAAGCCCTAATCTCTCAAGGGCGCAAGTTGTTGGAAGAAAAGAAGCTTCTGGAACAGGAACGGGCTCAGGTAATGAAAGAGAAAAGCCAGCTGCAGCCCCTGAGAGGTGTGTATCTAAGCTGCCTGGAGGAGCAGGAGGACTGGCAGCAGAGAGCTCGGCTGATGCTGCAGGAAGTTGGAGAGGCGCTTGCTGAAAGGCAGCGCATCTACTGCAGCCTGTTCCTCCCACGACGTGCCAGGTTGGAACTCGAGAAGAACTTGCTGGTGCGTGCATCCATTGACCCCATAGCTACTGACTTAGAGATGGCAGCTGGCTTGACCGATATATTTAAGCATGATACATATTGTGGCGATGTGTGGAACACCAACAAATGCCAAAATGGGAGTCTCATGTGGCTATATCTCAAGTATTGGGAGCTAGTTGTCGAACTGAAAAAGTTTAAGAGAGTAGAGAAGGTTATACTAGAGAAGTAAGAGAAAATGAAATAAAACTCAAGGCCAGAAGACAGTAGTTTGTTGTGGCATTCCCGGCTCTCCTATGTTTTCTGTGTCCTGTTTCCTCCCACCTGTGTTGTAGCCACGTGCAGCCATCCTCAGCAGCAAGTCTGCTTCTGCTACTTTGAGCGGCACAGCATGGCCTCAGCAGTGAAGCGTTTCCTACAGATGCTCTACAGCTATGAAGGACCCACTTTCTCTGAAGTATTTTTCTGAGCTGCTAATACTTAGCAGAATAATGTCACCTTACGTTTTAGCTCCACGGTAAAAATTGTTTTTAAAAGTCTAATGCACTGTTGATCCTCAGCAAAAGCAATTTTCTGTCAGTTGTCTTCTCTCCCTAAATAGATTGTCCTCTTGAGTTATTCTCTCCTTCTCCTTACCTGAAGTTGTCAGGTAACATGTCAGATTGCCTCACAGGTGACAGTAGGAAGTAGTAACATCTTCAAGGTTTTGCATTGGGTGGAAGATTTCTCTCACTCACAAAGGGAAGAAACACCAAGTGTTTATTGTATCCAGTTGTTACTTAGTATGTTTTTGGAATTCAGCTTTTGTCTGTATTTACTAAGCAGATATTTGTTAGCTATGCTATACAATCAAAAATACATGCCATTTAAAACTAATAAAACTTTTAACGTGTGATTCTTTACTCTGTACAAACTATGTTTAAGTATCTTATTTGAGCTTTTGCTACAACCAACCTGAAAGGTAGACAAGCACTTATAACACCATTTCATACATAGCTAACATGAATTAGGCTTTTTACATATCATTCATGCAATCTTTTTTTTCCTATGAGCAAGTACTGTTATTATCTAGGTGGGGGTTCCAGCTAGGTCCCAGGAGTCCCAGGACTCAGCACAGGGGAGTCCTCACAGCCATGAACCCTGGAGGAAGTCACCAAAGGGAGAAAGCACGTGGCATGAGCCCAGAGGGAACCAGACATGAGCTTCCAAGGGTCCCTCTGAGCACCTGGAACACATTCCATTCCTCCAGGGGTGAGCTGTGAACATGCGTGACAGATCCCTGGGACACTCACTGGAGTCTCTGCTGGCGTTATGATGGGGGCTGTTCTCATTCCTCTGTCTGGGACAGACCAGTAGGTATGCAGGGCTGGCAGGCCTATGCTGTGGGCTAAGTTAGGCCCAGAGCCAGTCTTACTGGTTAATGGTGCTGGGAACCCTCCCAGGATCTAAGTTCCCAGGTGCCAGCCTTGTAAGTGGCTCTTTGAAAGGATGCAGTCTTGGCGCTGCCATGTAAGCTCTTCCATACATCCTTGCTTCATAGAGGGGATCTGGAACTCATGTACCGGGACGGTGACCTGCACTGGTGACACAAGTAGTGGTGCTGGAGTTGTCTGAGCCAGGCACGTTGACTCCAGAACTACTGGGAATTTGCATGTGGGTATCTGATGGTGGTCTGGCAGGAATGGGAGCCCACAAAACATAGTGGCAGGAATTCTGTATGCTCAGTTGACGCATTGGGTGGAGATGCCTTTATTCCTCTTATTTAAATCCATAGATAGAATTGTATATATTGCTTGTGTATATGTGCATCTTGCAAACTGGCAGGTTCAGTGTTGATTTCATGGCAGTAATTGCAGGGCAACATGCTGCAGCAATTTTGTTGTGAAGGGAAAACTTCCCCAGAGGACCCAGGTATTCTTTAAAAGAGCAATTGTGTCTGACTAAAATGTGGCACTGTTTGTTGGGTTATTTTTAAAGCCTGAGTGCTTATGGTTTCTGAGTTCATCTCTAAAGTAGGGGGAAGTAGGCTCACATACGGAAACAAGTCTTCAGAGTATGCACATCTGAGCCCTGACTAGGGGCTGCAGTGTATGTGCCACTCAGGCAGCTCCCTCCTTGGGATGGCTGCACACCACACTGGTGGGGACATAATTGCTGTGCACACAGCTGGTTTTGCTCCATCTGTTCAACCTATGAGGTGAGCTGAGCTTTGTAAATTGGTCTCAGAAGTGCTTTGGTGGCACACTCCTATAATCCCAGCACTCAGGGAGGCTGAGGGAGGAGGATCATGAGATGGAGTACATCGTGGGCAGTTTAGTGACTCTGAGTCCCTGTCTCAAAAATAAAATGGACTAGCTCCGTGTGAAGGCCTTGGATTTAATTCCCATCACCCCCCCAACACACAGTGCCTCTCTCTTTTTTAGGTTTGACAAAATAGTCACTATTTCTCACTGTATAAATCTGGTCACAAGCAGTAGAGGTCTAGGTAACTCGGACACATGAGGGAGATTTGTTTTAAAGCCATCTCCCAGAACCTCAGTGCAGCAGTGGGAAAAAGCAGGTCAGATCTCAGAGAGGTGCGCAAGATGGCCCTGAGCCTGCCTGGGAGGAGCTGTTCTGCCTGTACATTTTGGTTCCAGCCTCTCAAGCCACTTGCAGCTGCTGAGCAGGCATACTGCCTGTCCTGTTGGAAGTGGGGCCTCCCTGGGGTGTTTGAATGGAATGGAACAGTGAAAATTAAAAGCTGTGGAGTGTGGCTTTGTTAACTTTACTGGAAACCTTGAGAGCAAAAGGTTTTGTTAAGCTAGCCATGACTTAAGGCCTGCTATGGAAGCCAGGGGCTCGCTGGCTCTGAGGGAAACTCCACTATTCAGGCGAGACTCTTGCTGTCAGACTGACAGGGCAGTAAAGGAATGGCAATTTCCAGGCCAAGTTGGCCCAGTGCCTACATTGGATGTTTGATGAGTAGCCTGAGCGCCATAATTCTAGGGTCTTAAGAGTCCTTCACATTAGCTCAAGCATTACTGTTGGGCGCCCTGCAGAGCCAGCCTCTGGGAGACATCCCTGTAGACGGCACCCGCCCCCCCGGAGGCTGGGTGCCTGCAGGAACTGGGAATCAATACCCGTTGGCCAGAAGGTACCATGTTGGAATGCCCAACCCTAGGGTGATGATCTGGCAGGATTTCTGTGATAGGCTCTAAATGAGGTAGAATAATGCCCAACCCCAGGTTGATGGTCTGGCAGGATTCTTATGATAGCCTCTGAATGAGCTAGAATTCCTGGCAGCCATGGCTTGGTTGGGGTGGGTGCTGGGCCTTCTGGTGAGGCTTTGGCCCTGGCATAGCTCCTGTGGCTGCTCCTTGGGCAGGGCTGGCCCTGCTGGGAGGTGCCATGGACAGGGCTTGGGACTGGCAGAGACAGGTAGGTGGGGTGGCTGTGACAGGCATCAAGACAGTGGCACGCACAGATCCTCCACTCCCTGGCCAGCCATAGGGGCTGCTTGGTAACAGGATTTCAGGGTTAAGAAAGTGAAAACTAAGTAGAACATTGATTAACTTGTAATGGGTCAAGGGGAGAACCGGAGTGCTGATTATGACTGGAGCAGAGGCCCTTTGGGTCTGTTGATGTCTCTGTGGTCTCCTTCACACTAGTGTCCTGATCTGTAGATCTAGTCATTAAGGTAGGAGGGGCCAGGCAAGAGCCTCTGCACTGCCCTTACCCTGCAGGAGAGTCAACAGGAAGACTTAGGAATGTGAAAGAGTGACCCCATGGTGTGCCCAACACTGGGCCCCTGGGGTCCCTGGCTTCTCTGATGCTGGTCTCTGTAATGTCCCTGTTCATTTCATTAATCAGGCCCTGGAAAGACCAACTGGGTCAGAGCAGGTGACAGTAGACCCCCAAAGCATCATCAGGAGTCACCTGGCTGTAGCCACCAATATGTGTTGCAGCTCTGATCACCACACTCATGTGTCCAATGCATTTTTTGGGTTTCCAACAGTGTGATCTTGGGTCAGAGACTCTGTATTCTGCTGCAAAGATCTGCTTTTCACAAACACAGTAGGATGGTGTAGGGCACTGGCAGACACTAGATGTGTGGCCATAGATACCACCCGGCTTCAGGTACAGATTCCCAAGGTGGGCTGGGTAACCTAAGTTTATCAGATGTTAAAACTGCACATTCTGTCTGTGGCCAGGCAGGGCCAGAGAAGCAGGTGAGTCTCATGCATAGAACCTTCAAGATGACTCTGAGCCAAATATGCCCACAACCCCTTGGCTTGGGAAGACTGGGTTCCTGCCCCAGAAGGGCTCTGGGCTGATGAGGAGGGGGCAATGTATAGAGCATCTACTATCAGCACCTTCACATGGCCCCTGCAGACTTCCATGTGCCTGCCCCTGCCCAGATCATAGGTCATGTCCAGCTCAGCCTCACTGGTGCAAAGAATTCCAATACTGCCCAACCTGGGGATAACAATTGGTTATGATGCCGCTTAGAGGCCAAGCCATTGATTAAGAAAGATCAAACACTTAAAACAGTGGAAGCTACCCAGTTTTTGAGAGTCAGATTTAGATCACTAATTTTGTACAGTGCCTGTTCCCTTTCCAAAAACTTGCTACAATATCAAACTGGAGTGAAACAGGATTCTCATAAAACTTACCAAGTAGAGGGGGCTGAGGATTTAGCTCAGCGGCAAAGTGCCTGCCTGGCAAGCGCAAGGTCGTGAGTTCAGTTCCCGGTACCGGAGAGAAACCAAAAAAAAAAAAAAAAAAACTTATCAAGTAGAGTTAGCAGAAAACGGTTTAGCTGGTTGTGGGGAAAGCGGAGGTAGAGATCCATTTCCTGCCCTGGAGACAGGTCTGATCACTCCATGGCTGATCACTGCTGGGACCTGGGACAGGAAGAGCATGATGCTTCCTGCTGGGACCTGGGACAGGAAGAGCATGATGCTTCCTGCTGGGCCCACACCCAGGCTGCTCCACTCAGCTGTTTTGGGAATGGCTTGGGGTGTACCTGGTGATGGGGCTATGGGGAAAAACTACATGGGGAGCCACATTTCAGACCCTCAGTTGTTCTGACTCCAAGTTTTTGCCTGTCTTGGGAAAATGTTTTATGTTCAGACTCCTACCCTCTTAAAAATTCTGAATTACAGTAAAAGAAATCCCACATCTGAGTAAACCACACTTTTGTTTTATAGCATTTAATCATCCTAATACTCATTTCTTTGACAAAGCCGGTTGTGGTGGAAACCAAGTCCAAATGCATCTTTCTCTGGTGGTAATTAGCGCCCCTCAAAGGTTGCCAAGGCCAGACTGCAATCTCCCCAATTGTGAATGCCCACGGCTGGGGCTCAGAGGGCTGCTGGGCAGAGATGAGACAAGAGCCAGCTCTCACTTGGATACCAGAGAGGAGGAAGGCACCCCACCTCACCCCAGGCCTTGTCTTGTGAGCATTAGTGCAGCAGGCAAACCATGACCCTGTGTGCAGCGCCTTCTGCTGGGCACAGCGGTCTGTCTGGCTTACTTTTCATTTTTACTTTTCATGTTTAGTCTTTCTCAGTTAACTTTCATGGGCTGCTGCTTCTTTTATACGTATTCTGCAATAAGTTCTCGTATTTATCCTCACTGTTGTGTAGCAGGTGGACCTTGTCCCCAACTGCCACCTGCCCTAGTGCCTGTCCAACCACTTCTCTACCTTCTGCCACCGTGGTGGTCTCTCTTCTCAGATCCTTGGCTCCGCGATCCTGCTGTGGTAACATCCAGGGACACCATGTCACATCTAGAAGGCAGGACTTCCTCTCCTACAGCGCCTAATGGGTACACCTACAATTTTCACTAAGAAGTGCTTTTGCTGATGAAGTTATTGGTGATGAATGCTTGGCCTAGCCCTTCTGTCTGGGATAGATCCCAGGTGCTATGTGGGCTAAAATGCAAGACCCATTCTTGGCATGATTTGGGAGCCTACTCCATTTGTCTTAGTGTTCTAGAAAAGTTTTCTAAAGCATTTTTGAAAGCTTGCAGCAAGAAAACACCGAGCTCATTGCTCGTTTCCTGAATGTCTGGGTCAAAGCTTCCAAGGAGTGGTGTGGAAGCCTGGATATCCTCCCGGCCTGCCTGCAGCAGCAGCAAGTGCAGCTCCTCAGCAATCACATTGTACTTCTGCTGGTCAAATTTGGATGCAGCCAGCTCATCCTGGGGGTAGGCCATGCCTTCGGGGTAGCAGTCCTTTGGCACTGGGAACTCAACACGCTGCAGCTTGGGGAGCTCACAGAGAGCAGCAAAGAGGCGTCTGAGGGCACGGGCTGACAGGGGGTTCCCCAGGAACTTGAACTCCTGGAGCTGGGTGCAGGGGCTCAGACCCAGGATCATCATCCCCACGTGGCTGTCTGAGATGCTGCAGTCCTCCAGTGTCAGTACCCTCAGCGTCTGGGCAGCTTGGCGCAGCAGCCTAAAGAAGGTTGAGGGGTACAAGTGGACCAGGCTGTGTCCACTGAGGTCCAGCACCTCCAGGTGGGTGGCATGGGCACAGTCTGCCAAGAAGGCCATGTCTGCATGGTTCAAGGCACAATTGGCCAGGTCCAGCACTCGCAGTGGAGTCCTGAGAGGGCTGGAGAGAAGGCAGAAAATAACACAGGTAAGAGGACGGTCCTAGGTAGGCTGGAGGCCATGGCAGATGCGAACAATCCATTGGTTTTGTCTCTTATGGGGGTTTCAATCCAACTACTATGGGATTTCATACAGTCAGATGAGAGTGACTTTGACATCTTTAAATAATTGGGGGAAAAAAAAACAGTTTGCAACACATAAAAGTTACATGAAATGCAAATGTGCATAAATGGTTTTATTGGAACACAGCCTTGCCCCTGGCTCAGAATCATCCGGGCTGCTGCACCTGCTGCATGGTCAAGGGTATACTTTGTCCACAGCACCCACAGTGGCAGATTTACCAACAAACTCTTCAGGTTCCCTGTGCAAGTATAGCCTGTGGTTATGTCAGGAATGTCTGCTCAGAAGATTTGTTGCAGGGGCAGTGAAGAAATTAGCAAGCAAGAAAATGCCATTTCATTCTGATGATGGTGGAACTCACAGTTTTAGAGCTGGGAAGGGGAGCCTAGAGAACCTGACATGGGTACCTTATCCCTGAATCACCAAGTCTGGCTTAGTTTGGCAGCCAGCATCAGCAAATGGGCAGCTGAAGAAGGACTTTGGAACAGTACCCAAGACTGGCAAGGCAGCACATTCTTGGGCCACTACCCTCCGGGACCCTGGGCTTGTCCTTGTGCAATGAGGCAGGCTGTCCCCAGGATCCTTCTCTCTGTCCGCTCTCACCCTCTTCTGATGCTGCCTCCTACTGCCAACCCATACCCAGACCCTCACCTGAGCTATCCCACCTGTGATGGGATAGCACCTCTCATGGGGGCCAATGGAATATGTCTCTACCAGAGCAGAGGTGCTGAGATGGAGACGCATGGCCCCCACCGTGTGAGGATGCCATATGCCAAGGAGCCCAGACCCACAAGGGATTGGCACATCCACCTGCCAGGCTTTCAGAGGAGGCTGCAGCCACTGCTGATAGCTGACTACAACCTGGAGCCAAAGGCTCCCCACTGAACTGTGCTCCCACTCCTATCTGAACAGGGTTTGCTGTTTCAGCACCTGGTTCTGGGTAATTTGTTGCATAACAGTACAAGCCACAGGATGCATCATGGTCCCTTTACCCTGGTAACTTGCTAGTGAGTGCATTCTCTTTTGCTAACTGGGAACAGTCCTCCAAGTGCTCTCAAGTGCTCTGTGCTTCCTGGTGGTTATAATTGCTGCTCTAGCTAAAGCAGCCCCAGGGAGCTGGTGGCCTTGTGAGGAAGCCACTCCTGTACTCTGTCCCTGGTGCGCCCCCCCAGTGGTCCTGCCTACCCTGTGCAGTGCTCAACTCACCCAAGCAGAGTCCGGATCTTCCCAGTCAATGAGGAGAAGGCCACACTTAGCTCGGTGAGGTGGGTCATGCGGCTTAGCTCCCAGGCGATGGAGGCAAGGAGGAGGTCCTGGCCCTCAGGAGCTGGGGTACAAGTAGGAGGCACATCAAAGGCCTTGGTGGGCAGGGTGAGTGAGGCCAGCCGGGGAAAACCCACCTGGGCCAGCAGCTGCAGCACATGGCCAGCGTGTAGCCGCACATTGTGTACTACCTCTAGCTTGCGCAGTGCAGCTGGCTCAGCCAGGCCCAGGACCAGCAGGAGCTGCCCGGGACTCAGGCTGTCTGCACGGAATGAGAGGCAGCGCACCTGCAGTGGGGCCAGGCCTGCTGGCTTCAGAGCCTGCACCACTGCCTCAAAGTTGCCATTAGTTACGAAGAGATCGGCCAGGACTTCAACAGGGCGCCCGGCCACACAGGGCTGTGCCTGCAGCTCACAGCAGGTCCTGGCCAGCAGCTGCGTGCGGCCCCACCTCCCCAGCATCCTCCCACAGGGGCACCGCTGCTGCTGCACATCGCGGATGCCTGTGAGGTCTGCCAGCCGCAGCCGGTGGCTCCCACTCTTCAGCACATGGTCACCAAGGCCTTGCATGCAGGCCTCCAGGCAGGTCCTACAGGCCCGGTCACACAGGTCCTCTGGGTGGTCAGTGCTGGGCCCCAGCAGCATGGCCAGCCGGAACTCCTCCAGGGGCCAACACCCCAACACAGCGCGGGTCACTTCTGCTTGCTCCAACAGGTAGCTGGCCTTGAACAAGAGTGGGTAGAGGTTGTAGGCCACACTGTCCAGGCTATCCCGGGCCAGCAAGGGGTGGGACACCAGGGCTTCTGCAGCAATGAAGCGAAGCGATCTCATTGTGCCCTGGGCTGAGGCAGTATGCTCTCCCTTCTGGCTGTCCCTGAGACTTGTGCCCTTCATGCCTATTTTTAGCTGCTGCTGGTGCCAGGAGAGGCCTGGCTTTGGGGAGAAAGTAAGCTGGCCCTTGCAGTCATCTGACTGCTATTTTGGTCCTGGGGAGGCTGTTTGGACCTGACCTCAAAGGTGTCTGTCTGCTTGTGGGAGCCAGCTGTCAAAGGCAGAGCGGTTGGGCACCAGTGCTCCCTGCAGGGCTGGGCAGGAGGCCGGAGTTCAGGATGTTTGTGCACGCAACTAGAAGCCTGGTCAACATCCGTGTGGATCATCTGCCCAGTTCTGACTCATCCCGGTTCAAAGGGATGAGGGTGGCCCTGGCCAGAGCGATACTGGGGTTTATGGGAGTGACTTTCTCTGAGGCTTGAATCAGACCTGACTCTCCCATTGCCCAACTTACTTGCCAGTGGAGGCACTATTCTCAGCAGGGAATTTAGCTCAGCAACCAGGATGTCATCTGCAAGCACAAGATGTCATAAAGGAGATAAGATAGGACAAGGAATTTTGCAGATCCCAGGAAATCTGGAGACACCCACGGATTTACACCAGACACTCTAAGTACTTTGCTCCCTGAGATGCGAGACTGCCAGAGAACCCTGACCACAGATGTTTCTTAAAATCTTCCCTTGCCTTCTTTCAATCCCTGTAAAAGGGGCCTGATTCCCTTTGTTCCCTACAGAGAGCCTTTTTGCTCTCTGTCTGCCCAGGCACAATGAATTCCACACCATGTTGCCTTTACACGAGCTTGGTGGTCTTGGCTGCTTTTGGCCTGTTGTGTTTGTTACATTTTCCACAGTAGTCTTTAGAGCCTTGACCTCTGCCTTTTCCTTACATTGAGGAGTCAAGAACATGAAAGAGACACCTCAGATGACCGTTTCCTGGTCTTCAGAAAAGGTCACTGCCAGCTTCTTTTCCTTTGCTTCTGTCTGCCCTGAGGCAAAGCAAATGGTGGCTTCCTGCTCTATAGGAGGGAGAAAACAGTTTCTTCACAGGCTGGAGAGGCAGGCAGAGGAGAGTGACTCTAGGTAGACGAGGTACCTGGAGGCTGTGAGTTCTCTACCTTGGCACTGTGAGCGGTGAGTGGCTGTAGAATGACTGAACCTATCATCTCAGTGTCACCCTTTTTTGGAACAAGTAGCACACTTGGCTGAAAGGTCTCCAAGGTGTAAGCTGTATGGGAGGATAGGGAAGAGGAAGGGAGGGAGAAAGAAGAGGTAGGAGGCAGCAGTGGGAATACCAGGTGGGCATGCAGCCTGTGGGAGCCCCCAGCCCATGTCTGACCCTTCCTACTCCTTTCCTGTCCCAGGGATTGCCATTGACAGAGGAAGGGATTCTTTTCCTGTGGTGAGGCCCTGGCACTGGCAGGCAGGTGGGGCTGGTTGGGGGAGCCATCAGTTGACATCATCCTTATGTGTCCTGAAAGCATGACCACCCTGGGCCAGCAATATGGACTCAGCAGATTCTAGGATCACCCTCTCTCAAGACATGCTGATGATGTTCCCAGACACAAGGCCCATTTCCAGGGCCAAATAAGAAACCTAGAGGATGTGAGAGGAAAAAAATCCCCATTTATGTTTTCAAAGTCTTGAACCAGTCAGAACTGAGCAAATGGAACAGCTGGCAACCACTGACAGGCAACCACATCACTGCCTTGGGGAAGCAACTCCAGAGCCCTGCTCACGTTAAGGCCTTATAAGGTCTGGCTGTGTTACTGGGCAGGCCCAGGGGAGACTTCAGGGTCTCTGGCCTGTGTAGCCCCTCTGTATTTTTCCTTCTTTGGACCAGAGGTGATCCCCTCAGGGGCCCTGAGGCCAGCAGTGCCAGGGGACTTGGCTGCAGGGTGCAGAGATAGTCTGTGCCCCAAGGCTCCCTCAGACCTGATTCAAGTACTGCTTTCCTGACAGCATCTGAGTTGTTACAAAGTGCAGCTGAGATTTCAGTTAAAGTGGACCTGCATGGGGGGTGCACCTTGAGGGGGTGGGCACCCTCCTTCTGGGCAGGCTGGTCTGAAAGCTAATGTGGGTCCCCAGGAGGGCTCACCTGGCTCTGACATGTCCTGACCCCCAGGATCTCCCACCAGGACAGCATAGGGAATGTGGAGAACTGTGGAGGAGGCCCAGCCAACCCAGGGGAGGACATCAGGGAGCTATGTCCAGACCCAGTGGCTTCCTCCAGGCTTACTGATCTGCTTTGCCTGGAGGAACTGTGCCTTGTCCAGGCTGGTCAGAGCTGTCAAAGGGACACAACTGTTATGTTCCACAGACTTCTGCCCAGCCCCTCTGCCCACGAGGCCACAACTGCTCAGTGTGTCCTGACTCTCTGCTCAGCCTCTCAGATCCTAGACTCACCTGACCAGGTTCAAGACAGGGCAGCAGGGGCCAGAGGGCTGCAGTGAAGAGGATGAGGCGGTCAGAGACTCATCCTGCATCTCCACAGCCAGGCCAGGGTGCTGAGGCCCATTGGATGGGGGTGTGGAAGGCCTCCCATGGGCAAAGGGGTTTGGACTCAAAACACACCATTTAGTTGTACACTGGGCCCAGGACGTGGTGTGTCTGCGTGTGTTTTTGTGTTTCTCGGTATGTCTATGTGTCCCGTCTGATGTGTGAAATGAAAGCTCCGAGGTGACTTTTGTCTCCACAGACAAATCATGGACTTGGGCTGCTGGCAGCATTTTATTCTGAGTCTCCATAGTGGGTCAAGCCCAGGGGCATGCCCATCACTACAGGAGGTTTTTGCTGTACATCCTGGGGGAGAACAAGCCTTCCATCCTGATGACCCATGAGCTAGCAACTTGGCCTGAGGAGCATCATTGGTTCAGGACATCGCAAAAATCCAGATCCCACAGTGGATATGGGAGGCACAAATAACACAGTGCTGGATGCAGCGTTGGGGGAACCTTTGTCCTTGTGGACAGAGCCCTGACTGACGTGGGGGGGGGCTAGTGGTCTTTCTCTCATGGGCACCAGTACCCAGGGCTGTACACTTCACCACGGCTGGCACCGGTCAAGTGGTGGCTGACACTGAGGGTCAGAGAGTGTGACCCTTAGGCTCTGGGTCCCCCAGAAGTTGCTCCTGACAGGCTGCCATGGCTGACCCTCCACCTGGCCTTCTGGGAAGATGACTCCCCCCCAGGACCCAAGCCAAGCCTCCCTGTTGATCCACCAGAAATGACTACACAGTCCTCTTAACACATTTGTCATGGGGGCTGAGCTCAGATAGGTGGAGGTAAGGCTGCTGGGACTGGCTGGGCTGGAGAGTGGCTGTCCAGAGCACTGTCCACAGGGGTTCTGTTGTTGCTCTAGAATCCTCTGGAACCAGGTGGCAGACAGGCAGCAGGTAGATCACAGGGATTTGGAGGACATGGAAAACCCCATTAAGTGGACTGGTTTCCCTATCAGCTACACCCTTGTATAGGGCCTGAGAGGTGGGGTTGGTTCTGAGAAGAGATAGAACTGCTTACTACAGTGTCACTGGTCATCACAAGGAGTCTGGGGACAGGGACCCTGGAAAAACCTGTTGCCCCAAAACAGCCTCCCATCAGGTACTGCCCCAGGAACAGAAATGCTATGACCTGGGTAGACAGAGCCTGATGTCATCCTGAGGGAAGAGGTCTCTATAGGGGTAACAGTGGCAGCAGGCTCCTCTCCACTTCATCCTCCCCAAGTCACCTTAGTCTGCCTTCAGGATGATGCTGTATGAAACCCTGGCTGGGTCTGGGGTCTCTTGGGCTCCTTCAGCCCTAGGATGGGATGGGGCAGGGTCAGGCTGTCCTCCTGCCCCCTGAGGGTAGAACTACCCACACTGCCCAGGGATGGAGATCCAGGGAAAGCTGGGCCTGTGGAGTGCTATGGGCATTCCAGGTAGAGCCAGAACTCCAGGTAGGGTCCTCCCTTCTTCTGATGGCCTAGCTTAGAAACCCCCTCAGCTGATCACTTCATCTCTTCCACTCAGGACTATGGAGCTCTAGCCAGGGTCCAGGCTAGCCTGAAATGTGGGGTGCCTGGCTTGGAACCAGCTTGTTGGAAAAGAGGTAAGACTTGGTGATGCTCGGAAGCTAATCCCAAGGACTGACCACCAGCAAATTGATTTGGGGAATTTCTTTTGATTAGTTGGCCTCAGTGGGACAGGAAGAAGGTGCTGACAGCATTGTGTGATACGTGGCCATGCAGATAAGTCCCCTCACACACCACCATGCAGGACCAGAAACTATCCACCCTGGGCCTAGCATTCATCTGGGCACCTGTCTGCATAATAATGTCAAGGCCACAACTCCTACAGTTCCTTTTGAGCCCTAGCCATACAGCCCCAAATGAGGGCATGGTTCAGTATGACTCACATTTCTCAGGAGGCTACGGCACACATCCCAGGCACAGCACCAGCACCAGCAGCTCTCTGGCTCTGGGAAGAGGTACTGGAGGTGGAAGTTGTAGAGCTAACCCAAGTTCCTGAAGATGCTGCTGCACAGTCCTCAAAGCTCCTGGGAAGGTCCACCCTCTGCTACATATCCCAAGGACCTGATGTCCTTCCTTGCTGTGGAGATCATCTCCACCATGAGATGGTGCAGCTGTCTGCACAGACAGAGCTGGGGTGGCATTGGATTCCCTATAATATCAGGCTTTACTCTGTGCCACAAAATACTTTATTAAACAAAAATAAGCTGGGCATGGTGGTGCATGCCTGTAACCCCAGAACTCTGGGAAACTGAGGCAAAAGGATCATAAACTCAAGCCCACGCTTGGCAGCTTAGTGACTACATGAGACCCTATGTAAAAGCCCCAAGTTCAATACCCAGTACTGCGATTGAAAGAATAAAAGAAAGAAAGAAAGAAAAAGAAATATCCAGGCGTGGTGGTGCACTCCTGTAATCCTAGCACTTGGGAGCCTGAGGCAGGAGGACCGTTGCGAGTTTGAGACTAGCCTGAGGTACAAAATGAGCTCAAGGCCAGCCTGAACTGCATTGTAAGACCCTAAACTGTATAGTA